TTTCTTTTTTTATAAATATAATTTATTTGTTTATATACTGTTACACAAATACTACCTGCTGCAGCAGCAGCAGGAGGAGGAACGACCCCCGTAGCAGCAGATACAGTAGCAGCATAAACAATAGCAGCAGCAGCAGGTGCGACGGCAACAGCAGCAGCAGCAGCAGCAACAGCTGCAGCAGCAGCAGCAACAGCAACTGCAGCAGTAGTAGCAGCAACCGCAACTGCAGCAGCAGCAGCAGCAGCAGCAGCAGCAGCAGCAGGCGGTGATATTCTTCCGCTCAAAGAGATAAAGGAGACACCGAATTACATCTGTCTCCTTTTCTCTTTTTTTATGTTTCTCTTTCTTTCTTTGTTTTTGTTTTTGTTTTTGTTTGTGTCTCCTCTATTCTTCCTTTCTGCTGTATACGTGCTGTGTATCCAGCAGCAGCAGCAGCAGCAGCAGCAGCAGCAGCAAATGCAGCAGCAGCAGCAGCAGCAACAAATGCAGCAGCAGCAGCAGCAGCAACAAATGCAGCAGCAGCAGCAAGACAGCAGCAGCAAGACAGCAGCAGCAGCAGCAGCAGCAGCAGCAGCAGAAAGGGGTGCGTAGATTTTTATTTGTTTGCGATGCTACAAACCAACTCTCACTGCAGCAGCAGCAACTGCAGCAGCAGCAGCAGCAGCAGCAGCAGCAGCAGCAGCAGCAGCAGCAGCAGCAGCACAGGAGGAGAAGGGGTAGCAGCAGCAGGAGTAGGAGCAGCAGCAGTAGCAACCGCAACAGCAGAAGGAGCAGCAGCAGCAGCAGCAGCAGCAGCAGCAGCAGCACTGACATGCATATGAAGGTTTTTACGCAGCAGCAACTGTCTCCTTTTCTGTCTCCTTTCTCCCCTGTCTCCTTTTATTTGTGTATCCTGTCTCTTTCTCTTTCTTTCTCTTTCTGTCTCTTTCTTTCTCTCTGTCTCTCTCTTTCTCTCTCTGTCTCTTTGTCTCTCTGTCTCTTTCTTTCTTTCTTTCTGTCTCCTTTCTGTTCTGTCTCCTTTTTTCTTTGTCTCCTTTTTTCTGTCTCCTTTTTTGTTTGTCTTTTTGGGGGGCGCACCGTCTCCCCCTATGTACAAACTTTGTTATTTTATATATATATATATACATAATATATATATAATATATATA